CCAGGGCAAGGAGAAAATTACTTGAATCTAGGCTAAGATAAAGAAGTCCTGAACATAACTAGTGACTATTAAAAGGGAGAGGAGAGAATGGGTCACTTTGTATAAGAATGGAAGGAACCAGAGAGAGATTTGATCTTTAGTAATGAAATAAGGGGGTGATTGAATGCTTGAAATAAAACTCATCAAAGCAACAAAAACAGTAAAGAATATACCTAAACCCACAATTTCCTATCCAAATCACGACCCTTTTCAGACTGAAAGGGGACATTGCCAATTATTATATCTGGGACAGTGTTGGGCAAATGACAATGTATGGCCATCCTACCTGAAAAGAGCTTTAACTATCAACATGGAAGGTGACTCCCAGATTCATACCACCAGCTCCAGGTTTCGTAAAGTTCAGAGTACTTAAAGGGAGTCACCATCAGAGGATAAAAGAATAAAAAGCTGCTGTTGAGAGACAGCGGTCTAGCCAGAGCGGTAGGGTGGAAACACATGTGATGTCCCTGAACTTTAAATCTGATCTACTGTCACTGTATCTCTCACAGTCCTCTTCTCTTCAATATGTCACATCCCAACTTGGGGCCTCTTTGCCTACAGGATTTTGAGGACCAAACAGTTTTAAAAAATCTTATTTCCGTTAAGTCTAATTTCTGAATATTTATATCCTGTTTCCATGGGTAAGAAGGTAACTTGACAAATAACTGGGGTGCGTGGGATGGTAGCAAGTGAGGGACAGGGGTAGGCGTGTGGCTACAGCATGGACACTGACTAATCAGAATTCACCAGCTGGTTGGCTGTAATCAGCCTGCACTCACCTATGGTCATGGGAAAAAGGCCGAGTCATTGGAGCTGCTTCCCCTGAAAAGGTGAAGAAATTGCTCAGAGACATGAAAGGGGTCTTCTGGAATGCAGGGCTGGGTGAGGAAGGAGGTGGCGGGAAGCCTCACAGGCAGATCCATGTGGGTTCAAGTCCCTAGAAGCAGTGCTGGTGGCAGGCAGTCAGTGCTCTCTCCACCTCTAGCTGAGATGCAGCAGGTGAGGCCCTGGAAGGATTCCCACACCTCCCTCTTGGTTCATGGAGCTCTCCTGTTAATCCCACGATAGTCTGTCATCCATACAGCACTTACATGCTGTATGGTAAGGTTAGGTGTGGGGATGGCTATGTTCTGTAAGCTCTCAGAGGACATTGGCCCTGTTAACACTTTTGGCGCAGAGTAAGCGTTCAAATACTTGTTGAATGAAGGCACACACTCACAGCCACTTTCTGTGTTACTGTGTGTGTGTGTGTGTGACAATCTAAAGTTCCTTCATTTTTCCATCCCTGTGGTCTCTGCCTGCTTTTCTAATAATGATTTACCCTCAGTGACTCATCATCACCCTAGAGAAGGGACCGAGATTTTAAACTTCCAAGTTTATCTACACAATCTACTCCTTTCCTTTATTAACCGGAAAGGATCAGTTTCCCAAACAAGATTAAACATTCAGTTTTCCTTTTTTTAATGTTAATTATTTTTATTTGAGAGAGAGAGGGAGAAGGAGAGAGAGGGGGAGGGAGGTGGGGGAGAGACTTGTTGTTCCACTTATTTATGCATTCATTTATGCCATCCTCTATGTGCCCTGACTGGGGATTGAAGCCAAAACCTTGTTGTATTGGGACAATGATCTAACCAACTGAGCTACTTGGCCAGGGCCCATTTAGTTTTCCTTAAAAACAATTGTTTTCCATACCTAAATGGGTGGCAGAGTGAGAAGTACTAGTTTGTGGAGTCAGGTGGAACTGGGTTAGTTAGCACTGAACTTGGGTTACCCTGCCTGCACCTCATTTCGCCTATATTTACCATGGGGATACCAAAAACTGCATAAGGTTGTTGAGAAAATTACTATTTTTATAAATGTTTATGTAAATTATTAATAAGGATTAGCTATTTTACCACCCTGTTAAGTGTTTAGTAAGTGCCAACATCCTCACAAGAACTTGATGACGAAGGTTCTAATATTATCTCCATTGTCCCAGAGGTTCAGAGAGGTTCAGGAACTTGCCCAAGGTAACAGAGCTACGAAGTGTGGGAAAGCAGAAACTGAAACCCAGGCACTTGAACTTCAGAACTTAAAAGCATTGTCACATTGACTCACATGAAAAAGGTACCAAATAAGTAGTTCTCAAAAAAAAAACCCTCGCCACTGTAAGTCCGCATTGACAGAATGTATTGCTTTGTTGTCTTACATCTATCTTTTATCATCACTAAAAAGAAAATTGACCGTAATTGCATGTGATTGGGAACATCCTTATGTGTCTGCCCTCAGTATAGTAAATCACCAGGTCTGCTTCCAGGCACACGAGGAGGTGAGAGAAAGGCGAGGACAGTGCTGTGTGCCTGTGTCCACTCACGGACTGACGTTTGTTTATCCGGGAAATGTTTGACTTGCATTGGAGCCCTCTGACACTACAGGATCAATACATATGATTTGAAGTCAAGTTATTTCCCACATTTCGCTTACTTCTTTTTCTATGTATTTTGCGCTCGATCTTAGCCAAAAGGCCGAGAAGTGATTTTTCTATGTATTTTAAATCTCCCTTCTAAATGTGTGATTTCATCTAGCTATCCAAAAAGGCATTAGCTTTTGTCAGATTTTCCTTGAGGTTTCTCTACAATTCCTCCCCCCAAGACACTTAGATTTGCCATTAACTGAGCATCCATTATACAATTGATACTATACAACTGTCAGTTTGTGGAGAAGGAGGACTGAGCCGAAAGCTGCTCTCGGGGGACATGCTGGTCTGCCCTCAGTGTTCTATTTCTCATTCATGTGCAGAGGCCTGCGAATGATAATCCCATATTATTAGATTCAACCAAGACCTACAAAAGTATTTTTCATAAGACTGCAAGGAATAGGGCTGCTCCATAATTATTAGCAATAACACCGGAACAAATTATGTAAGGGATTAAAAATGAGGTGGTTTAGAACCGCAACAAAAATATTGCTAAATACTATTCCATTATGTCATTCCATCAGGTTCTGATTCACTGAGGAGCTAGGCCTGCAGAAAGCAGCTCCTGAGTAAATAAAGCAAAAAAAAAAAAAAAAAAACACTCCCAAATTTATGCATTTTCTTTGGTGATGAGAGAACAACAGCGGGTAAGTAAACCCCCCCACTTTGGAGGGTGAGTGTGCTTTGAAACGTGTCTTGTTTGGAGAAAGCTCTAGGCTTCGACTGTGATGGACAGGTAAGCCTGCCTTCTTCACTTTCTCATGGTTGTATCGTTTTCGTCCCACTTCCAGATGCCTGGTAATTTATACATTGGGACTAACTTATTATGTAGCATAGCAGCCAAAGAGAAAATAGCAATTATTACTTGCATTGCAGAATAGAAAAGGTAGTGCAACTTCCGCCAGAGAGTCCCAGTGGCTGTGATTCCAGAAAGAAGGGCGCCAACATCAGCCTCGTTTCCTGGGAAAGTGCGCACACCTGCGCAGCTGAAGCGGGCCTGGTAACCAGCCATGGAGGAGTGCCACACGCTGGCATAATTACAGAGAAGGTCAGGGCGAGCGGAGGAGTGAGGTCCTGTGTCACACGGCGCACCTACACCTGTGATACATGCTTATCATGTGGCCTGAGTCAGCTAGGACAGTCACAGTCAGTTCCTCCGCAACCTCAGCCTATACGCTCAGTCATTAAACACGGGCCTCTTTCCCCAGAACGCCAAGGGCGGCGACAAATGACTGGACCCTGTGTGTCTAGGAGACCAAAAAGCAGCCCTCAGATGTTCACTCTTCTCTGTTTTTCCTGGGAACAGTGCGGTGGAAAAATCTGGGATTGCATGACCATCACGGTCCCCATCTCAACAAATACCCCACCCCAGCCTCACCCCTAAAACCGAGGGCAGGTTCTGAAAATGTCCCCTGGGAGCACTCAGTTCAGAGGGACTCCAAAGGCAGAGCCCAGGTTCTTCAGGAGAAGGCAAACAGCTCTTTTCCAGGGTCACGCTTACACATGCTCTTTACACTACCCCTGGAAAGGACAGCTTTGCTTTAGGACACTGGGTGCTCCCCAGTCATAATCCAGATCTACATGAAAGCTGTCCTCAACTGGTAATTATTGAGCCATAGTCGACGGCTTAAAAAGAGATTTAAGACACCGGTTTTCCCGCTCTGCAGAAAGGAATTGAACTAGAGGAGCTATTTAAGGTTTTGTGTATTTTTTTCCAGCTCTAAAATGCAGGAATGACATAATTTCCAGATTCAAAGAATGACCCCCTGCAAGTTTGAGCAAAGCACATGCTGTATGCATATCTTCCCAGCAAGCCTTCGGGACCATAGGACGTGCATAGTCGCACACTGCTCTGTGCGCCCCGTGCCTCCTCATGAAAGGCACTTTACACACAAAGCACGCTGACCCACAGGGGGAAAATGGATTGTTTTCCCCTTCTATGTTTCTCCCTTCAGGAAAACGCCCCTCATCTTACAGTTGGCTACTTTTCTTCTGCATATTTTGAGTCGACTCATTTGCATCACTCAGATTTGGAAATCTTTCTAATGACCACGCTAGGAGCTAACAAGCATTTAAAAAAAGCACACTTAGTGCTTAAATGAATCACCGGTGAATTTCAACCCACTGCTCCCGCACACAATGCTAAAGGAGAAGCTCTAGTTTTCATGTCATAATTCACATGGTACAGCAGCATCCTTCCCCCACTACCCCCACCCCCAGCATCCACCAAGGCAAATACTGCAAATGCTGCCCTCAGATACTGCAAAGACAGAATGCCATTCACCATGGGTCCGCAGGAGAGGCTGGCACACTATGCAAAGTATGGGGAGCTAGACTCGCACCCTCCACATTCTCTCAGTGGGCTCAGCCAACGAGCTGGGGACTCACACACATTTTACTTTAGGTGACCAGGAAAGTATTCAGGTTCACACAGAGACCACCATCCCCACACCAGCCCCCTCATCCAACTAACAGCCGTGCAGGGCATCAAGGTTGCTGCACTCACCCGGCGTAGCGGTTGCTGTAAAGGTGGCTGTGCCCTGGTTGCAGGATCTTCAAAAAGATCAAGCAAAGAGGCAGAGAGGCAGCTGTCCGGCTCCTGGGCTTCCCGAGGAACTTCATAGCGTTTCAGTGAGAGGAGCTGAAGTTCGTTCCAGCAGGCACCCGAGGCTGAAGGGGGCTCACAGCACCCCCTCCACACGCCCAGGGTCTCTGAGAGGGGGTGGGGGGGAAGGCTTGGGAGTGAGCAAAATGTGACCCTTCTTTCCAGCCACAGGATTAAAAAAAAAAAAGTTTAAACGGCCGAGGAAGGAAAGTGGCTCTTCAGAGAGGTTCCTGCCAGCAGGCACCTGAGGCTGAAGGGGGCTCACAGCACCCCCTCCACACGCCCAGGGTCTCTGAGAGGGGGTGGGGGGGAAGGCTTGGGAATGAGCAAAATGTGACCCTTCTTTCCAGCCACAGGATTAAAAAAAAAAAGTTTAAACGGCCGAGGAAGGAAAGTGGCTCTTCAGACTGGGTCTTGGGACAAGAGCAGCAGCATACACAGCCCAGCCCAGCCCAGCCCCTGAGCCGGCTCCTTAACCAGGCTCTCCTGGAAGGGGCTGGGCCTCCCCCGTGCTGACTCACGGCAGGGGCTTGCTGGGTGCTGCTTCCTTTGGGAAACTCCTCTCTGGTTCTTTTTGTTGTTTGTTTTTTGCTTTCCATCTTCAGGCACCTAACTTTTCTGACCAGCCTTTCTTCTTCTATAACCCTCTACAGCAGAGGACCCGAACCTAATTGCAAACACTTTGTTTGAGGATGCGCTAAACATGCTGGCATAGAACATTCCAGGCTTAATGTTTTGATCTACCATGACCAATCTCTACGAATTCCACATCCTGAAATGCAACAGTGGAGAGCCTTGTGAGTATGGGCGCAGGGGTAGGCTGGGGCACCTGGATAGGAACAGCCAGCCTTGGTCCCGTGTTCATCTGTACCAGGAAGGGGTAGCTTCTCTCCTGGGCGTCAGAGAGCTCTATGGTCCATCCACAGCATCAGCACCCAGAGCCGCGGCTATTTCAGAGGTTCTCTTGGGGAACAGGAGGCCTCCAAGTGCTTTACCACCTTCTCTGCACATTTGGAATTACGTAGGGAGCCAGGCCATTTAAATGAGAATTCCCGGGTGTGGGAGCGGTCGTGTAAAGAGCTCCTCAGGTGTTCAATAGTCGGTCACCACGCTGGTCTTGAGTGGGCTTCTCAAACTTGAACGTGCATGCAGATCACCTGGGGAGCTTGTTAAGCCGCAGCTTCTGAGGCAGTGGGCCGGGGCTGGGGCCTGAGATTCTGCAGTCTAACAAGCTTTCAGGTGCTGCTCATGATGCTGGTCCTTCAGCCAAACTTGGAAAAGCAAGGTTTTACTTTAGAATGAGGTCTATTTTTTCTTCTTCTCTCTCCAAAGTACGGGTGGAGGGCGCCCTGGAGCAAACGATTTCCTTCTTGTTTTTCTAATGTTGGTAATGAAGAAGGCCTTTTTTGCCTCCACTTGCTCTTACCAAATATACTAGAACACATATTTGGAGGCACGTGTTTTGCTCCAGTAAATAAGAACCGTGTTATCTAGAGTGCCTCCTGTTATCTCCTGTGTCAAATCCTGATCATATGATGGAACAGAGTGTGAGCCAGCATCTATCACATTCACTCACATACTTTCAAATTTCATGAAGAGTCGTGGCCAAGCACTCCTGTCCCTCCGGTATGATAGCCAGAGCACCTGTTTAGAAGAGAAGCACCAACTCCCTCCCCATGTTCTCCACCTGGAGGGCTAAACCAAACTCATAGGAGGTTGGTCCTTAACAGAGCTGAAATGGTGTTCCCTTGAAATGAAACTCTACAGACCAGGTTGTCTTCATCTACCCCTGGATTTGTTTAGTTCATCTCTTCCTTGAGTCCCCTCCCTAACACCTGCCATGCCCTCTATGGTGGAGCACACACAGCACATGGAGTTTGTATTTGTCTGATTTCCTCATAAGGCTGCCTTCTCCTTGAATGCAGAACTGTACCCCTTTCACCTTTGTGTGCACTTCCTTCTGTCTCCTAGAGGAAGCGCCATGTTCACTGAAGGACAAAGAACAATGTTTGTTGAGTGAATGATAAACCTGGGAAGGGATTCATTCAAGAAGCACGTACTCTGTGGCTTCGGTATCCAGAGAGAGGAAAGGACGTCAGGGTGGCAGACAGCTCTCCAGATGTCTTTGAATAGTGGGAGTTCCCAGGTCTCCTGGTTTTATTTCTTGTTGGTTTATGTTGTTGTTTTCTTCTTCCTGACTTCATGGCCCAGTGCCTTGGTCTCTGTAAGCTGGCGAGGTTGGTCTGCAAGGCTCCCAGCGATGCTTCCTGAGGCTTTTTGATGAGACCAAGAAAGCCTACATAACAGCCAGTGAACTGTTGAAATAAGAGGTTACTGTGTAAATAAAACACTTCTTCTCTTTGCATTTCATTATGTCAGAACAATGTATAAATCTGTCATATTATATCACAACATTAAACTAGGAATGTTCAGGCTCTGACTGGGGATTAAGCTCATCCTCAAATCATTCTGAAGGACTGGATCCAGTGAGCATGTTCAGCAAAGGCCCTCCAGACCCTGAGACCAAGGTAATAATTTCCTGGACCATCAAATATGCAAGAGACCCTGGTGACATCCTTCCACCGTCCTAAAAACCCAGATCAAAGAGAGGTTTTCAAACAATAGAAACCATTCCTAGCAATCTTCCTCTGCTTTTCTAAGGACCAGGTTATCTGATCAAACTTCTCTGGGAGTAGATAAGCGCCCATAAAATGAGTGATAAATGGAGTCCATTTAGCAAGTGGGAGGAGAAGAGAACAGTTTTTCAGATGAAATTCAAAGATAAGAGTCCCGTTTTTAAGGCACTGAGAGGGAGTGAATTATTAAACCAGTTAGAGATTTGAAGATGGAAAAATGAGAATTTCTATTTATTGGCTATGCCCTTGTCATATTTTAGTGTAAGAGTGAATTTTATTAAAAGAAATATTAGCATGCAGAGAAGGAAAAAAAAGGAAATGACAGTTGGGAGAGGAAAGTGTCTTCCTTTATTTGGGTTCATTTTGTTGATGATTTTAATATCCCTTCTAGATCTGAAGTTCTATGGTGCTGTGGGGAAGATTTTGAAAAATTGTTTCTTAAGTAATGAGTGAGAGTCATGTGGATTTATGTGGGTCAAGATATCTGGAGAAGATAAATGGGTGTGGTTGAGCTTTGCTATACAGGCAACCCTCCAATTGCAGGTGGCTTTGTCTTCATTTCTCATTGCCTTATTAACAGAAATATATTGCCCATCAGGCCTCTTTTATGGCTTTCTGCCATCATTCCAACCTGTGAGGAAATAGCAAATGCAAAGTTAGGCTCCTGCCTCATGCATCTTGGCTACTTTGTGAGACATGTCCTGAAGCTTCCTTTAACTACACATTGCAAAGGATTCTCTATGATTCCCTTCTTCAGTGCCATCAGCTACCCTTTCTTGCCCCTATGTCTTTAATCTTTTCCTTTCAACTTCCATATCTCTCCCATCCTTAAACTTAAGCTCTATTCTTTTTTCCCAGGCTTCTCAAAAGCAGACTCTTGAACCCAGACAATTTACTTTCCATCACTACCATCCTGAAGAAACTTCCTCTTAAAAATCATGGGTAATCTCTAAGTAAAAACACTTCGTTATCACCCCAATCTAAAGTTCTCACCCCACTCAGGTTTCTAAGGTTGTTTGCCACCTGTTCTTTGGGATAGGGGACATTGACCTCTCCTGTTCCTCTCTTCCCTTAGGGTTCTTTCTCTATTTATTTTTGGCCTGCTTATAAAATAGATGCTTTACGGGGCTCTTTCTTTGACCTTCTCCTCTTCTTGATGTACTGTGTGAAGAATAGGCTGGAACAAGTTCATGGAAGAGATTGACTTGAGCTGGGTCTGGAAGGGATGAAAGGATTTGGCTGGAAAGAGATAGGAAACTGGATAAAAATTGTAAACACAGAAGACGTGGTTCCTGACTTTGTGACTTTTGGTGCTGGTGGAGAGGTCAGACAGAAACTCATAGTTACATTTAGTGGTTCAATTAATTATGTGCAAACTAATCACAGATGCTATGATAGCGAAGGGGGAGTGGGATCCCATATAGAGGGTGTCCTGAGGAAGTGAACATTTAAACCAAATACAAGAAGGAGCCAGCTGTATCAAGAAAAGGATGGCGGTGGTGTGGATGGAGTGAGAAGTGGGGACAAGACCAGTGCAGACACAGGGAACAGTATAGGCAAAGAAGTCCTGTTTAGAATTTACTGTCCTTCCTGAAGTCAAGACAGGATAGAGTACAGTCAGGCTCCTCAGCTTGTTATTTAAGACCCTTGAGAACTTTCATTTGCATCTCTTCAATATTCCCTGTATACTCTGTGTCTTTTCCTTCCTCTAGGTTTGTCTATGTCCCCTTGATAATAATAATGGGCATCTCTATATAGCCTTCCTATCCTCTATTCAGCCAAATACTTTCATCCTTTCAGGACCCAGCTCAAGTCAGTCTCTTCCATGAGAATGTTCCAGTGCAGTGTGTCCACTGTGCTCACCTTCTTGGAACAGACAGCATTCATTCATGTATAGCATTATATTCTAGTGTGTTGACAGTCGAATATTACCATTTATTGTAAAGTCCTTGAGGGCAGTCACTCTATTGTGTTCATCTTCAGATTTCACAATGCAGGGTCCACAGTTGACATCCACTGACAGAGCTGTTCTATTGCCTTTTAGCCAGGTCCTCATAGAACCTTTTAGCTGTTCAGGGAGCCCTTGTCCAGAACCCAGGCTATACCCTTAGCCAGGTCTCTCATAAAAAGTCTTGCTTGCTCAGATGAAAGAGCAATTGGAAGAGCAAATGTTACTGATGGACAAGCCTATGGTTATATTTTTAAGTCTCTGTAATTGTTTCAAAGATACTTCATAGAATTCATAGAGCAAAACCAAAGTATGTTAATGTAGGAAAGTGGGAATGAGGAGTCGTACTGCTGATTCCAAGCAGCAGAAGAGACTTACCCATCTTCTCCCTTTCTATTTTTCCTGCTTTCTCTCCTTCCCTCTCTCTCATTCT